TAAGGCTAGGTTATAGTGTGGATGACAAGTATTGTGTGGATGTAAGAATGAATGTGGACCAAAAGTTTAAAATACATATTTTTATAGAATACATATTCTGATTGAATGAACATTTTGAAGAATAACAAATTTTTGAACAATGAGTTGAATAACAACATTCTTAAAGAACAATCATCTATTATTAATATTATTGAAGAATCTAATATCCAAAAATAAACAAAAAAAAAACAATTTTTACTGTCACATTCTATAAAAATACAATGTCATTTTTTGAATTTTTGCCACGTTCTATAAGAATACATGCTTTATAGTAAGTCACTCTTGAAAAAATCTTCATTCTATAAGAATACAATGTCATTCATGAAAGAATCTTCATTCTCATTCTTCCTAGAAGTGAATTTATTTCCTTTGACTTTAGATCTTCAACTAACCAGTAAACAAAGACATGTATTAAAAAATAGAAATAAGCATGAGAATAAGATTATACAAATAACATGACTATTGTATTATGATGTGCTTAAAACCAAATTTGTTCAAGCAAAAGGAAGCACACTACAGTCTTTGCTAGCATTATCAATTAAATTAGGTCTAGTTCCATTTGAAATATAAAACCATGATTTGAAGTTATATAACGATGAATATGGCTTTCCATATTCAAAAAGTCTAATGGGTGAGATTTGAGGACTATTTTACCCTTTTGTCTGTAATTGTGGTTTGCAACTATGTTCTGATTGAACAAGGTGAATGGAGAAGAGCTTCAACACTACATAATTTCAACATACCTTTGAATCTGTAAGGGCTCAAGCTCGATCAACTCAAATAAATCTCTATAAAACCAAGATATTTGAAAATTAAAGAGACAGAAAAAGACTAAATCACATACATTAAACGTAGGATTAAAAAATAGAGAAATGCTTGTAGAGTTTAAGTAGAGAATAAGGGACCAACCTTGTTTGTAGATATTTTGAGTTGACTATCACTATAGAATTCTCATCTGTGAAGACTGAATCAACCCTTCGAAACTTAGGACTAAAAAAAAGAAATAGAGAAATGCTTGCATCAATTTTATATCCTACAAACTCATATTCCAAATCGATTAGAGAATATCACTTACAAAAGTCAATTTCAAATAATAAACAGATGTCACGGATGAGAAGAAAAGCAATAAAATCGATTTCAAAAAATCAAATTTTGAGAAGAAAGAAATTGATTTCAGAGATGGAGAAAATCAATTTCTGAAAGTAAAATCATTTTTTGAGAAGAAAGAAAATCGATTTCATCGACACTAGCGGAGGAACTCACGATATTGATGGAGGCTGAAGCACTGTTGGAGACACACGTCGATTGAACGAGCCCTGGAGGGTTGGTTCCCGATTCTGATTTTCGATTTTGAAGTCGTTCCCTACGACGATCTTGTCATGTTCGAACGCATGTCGATTGAAAGAGCCCTGGAGGGTTGGTTCCCGATTCCGATTTTTGATTTTAAATTTGTTCCCTTCGACGATCTTGACATCTTCGATGAAAACGGGAGGGATACAATTTTGTGGGTGTAGATGAAAGAGGCAATAGGGTTTTAAATAAAGTAATTTGCCTAAATTAAAGGGTAGATGATTTAATTAATTATTTATTAAAATTAAATAATATTTGGCCCATATTAATCCCTACATCCACACAATATTTGTTAATCCACATTTGAACCCACCTATATATATATATATATATATATATATATATATATATATATATATATATATATATATATATATATATATAAAGGGAGGAAGGATGCCCCGGCGGAATTAGGGGAAATGCTAGAGAAGTCCCGATCATGCTTTCTATGAAAATTATTGATGTCACATGTTTTTTCCCTAGAGATATATTTGATTCTCAATCAACAAGAGAAGACGGTTAATCGAGAAATGAGGGGAAGACAGATGCAATGGTCGAGAACAAAGCAAGTGTAGGGGAAGGATTAGAGGACGATGGCAGTAGACGTTATAGCTTCGAAAATGTCATCATACATTTTAACTGTGAGTGGGAAATTTGGGCCTTCAGGAAACGGGTTTATATCCAAACAAACATGGTATCTTCTTCTTCACAATGCCAGACACCAAACTTAGATGAACTCATTGTCAAGTTTTTACTTTGGTAATGTATTGTGTTTACATGGTATGGTACCTCCATATTAATAGTGTGAGGTTGTAATAAAATATAGTGTGTCCAGAATATGTCCGGGACGAGGTGTTCGGAATGGTTTGTCTGAAATATGTCTCCGTAATTTATGTCTGTGAATGTGTCCATGAGTCCGGAATGACAGGAATCTATGACATAAATGATGGCTTTGAATTGACATATAATTCAGAATGACGTCCGGAATCAGTCCGGAATGACATTCGGAATTAGTTCGGAATGACATATAATCTATGACATAAATGACGTCCGGAATCAGTCCGGAATGACATATAATTCAGAATGGACCTCTATAAATAAGAGATTGAAATACAAGAGCTTTTTATGACTCCGAAATGGAAGTTAATCAACCCCAACCATGGACTACACAAGAAGATATCGCGTTCGTTCAGGCTTGGATAACCATTAAGGATGATATGGTTGTCATCGGTCTACCACACATCCAAAAGTTACAAAACAGAGTTGGAAGATGACGTGATGATGTTGGGGTAACTATAAAGGTTGGTCCGCCGAATGTTGTGTAAGGTAGTGTTTGTTTTTTGTCTGCAGATCTGCGTGGCCTCTTCTGTGTGCGCCGCGCAGACCACGCGCAGACATTAGCCTTCACAGACTGTTTGTTTTTCTGAAGACTGCAGACCTAAAAATGTCTGCACGCCCTCTTCTTGGCGCAGATGTGGACCAGAGTCTTCTAACATCTTCAGACATCTTCTAGCCTAAAAAAACATATATATCTTTGTTTTTTTTTAAGTTTTTTTTTAATTTATATTTTTTTCCAACTTTATTAATGATAAACAATTTGAAAAAAAAAATTACAAAACTTAAAAAAAAACGTTCAATGATACAAACATGATATTTTTGACAAATTTATAAATAAAGATTTATTACAATAATAGTCGTTGAAATTGTTTATATAAATATGAAAAAAAAATTTAAAATATATTCTTATATTTTTTTTGCCAAATTTTGTAAAACATTATTTAATATAGTATCGTCAATTTCTCGAGAAAATATTTATGGTACGTTTTTAATGGATTTAATTGAAAAAATCGAAGTTTATTTCCATCAATTTATGTATCAAATTTTTTTATCACTAATTATAATGTTTAGTTATAACTTTGCAACCAAAGTTGTTGGTTTTTATCAAATATATACGTTAATTTATATCATTTTTATTTTTATTTTTTATACAATAATACATAAAAGTTGATCTAGGTTCGTTAATTATTTATAACAAAGTCATAAAAATATTAAAAAAATCACTTTGAAGTTAAAAAAAATCAGTTTATATAGATTTCAGTTTATTTTAGTAGCCTGCAGATGTTAAAAAAAAACAAACAATCTTCTTTTTTCAGACTGCGGACGTTTGGTCTACCTCTTCTACTGCAAAGGTCTACAGATGTGGTCCGCAGACTGCAGACATTTTGCCTCAGAAAAAACAAACAGCACCTAAGTAAATAGGAGGTTGGTAAAGCTTTCTTTGTGGTAAATGAAACTCATCTTGAAGTGGTTATAATAGATAATTACGGATGATCGGAAGTAACTAACAACATGGGATACCATTTATATATAAGACAGAAAATGTTGTTTTTTGGAGTCCGGAATGTGTGTCCGTGATTCCGTAATGCTGACTACCATACTCCAAAATTGACTTTATCAGTCCGAAATATACCGAGACATATTCCGGAATAGATGCTCTGTAATAAATAGTGTTGCTCCGGAATGCTATATTCTAGACATTGTGGTCTAAATTTTGAAAAAAAATTACTAACTTAATTATTATTATTAAAGTAATCATTTTTATATGGGTTAAATTACTAGATTTCCCCACAATATACGGCATTCCCACTAGTCATACTTATATTCAAACCAAGAATAAATTAATAATTCCGGAATCTCATTATTTATTTTTTGTTTCCATAGGAAAGATCGACAGAATTCTTCCTCTTATCTAAGCCCTCTCTATTTTCTCTTGGGCCAAGGACCTCTACCTCTAAAAAAACATATTTAACTTTACTTAAATGTTGTAACTACTGCCCATGCATATGTGTCAGAATTTATTACTCCAAAATGAGGTAAGCTTCCATTAAATCCACTTCTTCTCGGCCCAATCAAACGTTCTCCATTTTTATTTTTATTTTATCTTTAATACAAATCATTTTAATTGAAGTTTATGGATTCATTCAAGCCTTAAGATCTTTTATTATTTGATTATTTCTTACCAGTTTGCAAAAACTTGGTTACGGGTTACATAAATATTCTCAGAATAAATATGGATATAAGTCATATGACCAGAGATAACAATACATTCATTATACTTTTCGAAAAATAATAGGAAGTTACGTGACATGTAAAATCTTGTAAAGAGTAGAAAATGACGCAATATTGACGTATGTACTGTTTTTAAAGTGCACGTTCCATGTGGAAATCTACATCACCATTGCCATTCTCATGTAAATTTTGTTACTAAAGATCCAAGATTCGTTTTCTATATTTAGTAAAATTACAGGAATTTGTGTTTTAAAAATCTATAACTTGTCCCAAACCACACACTTGAGCGTTTTATTTCTTTAGATAACGAGGGTGTTTGGTATTTACATTTGTACAAATATTTTTATTTTCACACAAAAACATATTATTGTTGGTTTAATGTCATAACTCATGATGATGCAAATGATGAAAAAGGGACATGTAACAGACACGTGTAATAAAGTAAAAAAAAGATATTTAAATATTTATTATATAAATATCGGAAAATGGTAGTAGGTGGGTTGTCTATTTAAGTGATCCCACTTTTGGGTGGTTTAATTATCGTTTTGGGTGTCAACCTCCATTTAGCACTCACTACCCTTGAAAAGAAAATGAGTTACTTGGGTGTCGGAGTAAGTCCGGGGAATGTTCCGGTGTACCACGGCAGCGATTTGAAGGTAGTTGACCGGCGGGTAAGGGTGGCGGAGTTAATATTGAGAAGTGTGATTTGCGGTTTGGCTCTTGTCGCAGCTGTTCTTGTGGCTACCGATACTCAGGTGAAAGAAATCTTCACCGTTCGAAAGGAAGCCAAATTCACAGACATGAAATCTCTGGAGTAAGTCAGTCATTTTCTTCTTGATCGAGTTTAATTTTTTATAAGTTAAAAAAAGAAAGAGATTGAATGCAGGTTTTTGGTGGTGGCGAATGGGATAGCGGCGGCGTACTCGTTGATACACATAGTGAGGTGTGTGGTGGGAATGATAAGAGGAAGTGTGGTGTTGAACAAGGCGTTGGCGTGGGTAATCTTCTCCGGTGATCAGGTGATGGCGTACATGACGGTGGCGGCAGTAGGGGCGGCGGCACAATCGGCGGCGTTTGCAAAACTTGGAGAGGCGGAGCTTCAGTGGATGAAGATATGTGATATGTATGATAAATTTTGTAACCAGGTTGGTGAAGGGATTGGGAGTTCGGTGATTGTTTGTGTGAGTATGGTGATGGTTTCTGGTTTATCGGCGTTTAGTTTGTTTCGGTTGTATGGTGGTGGGAATAAAAGAGGAAGGAAGACAAGCGCAGCATGGTGAAGTGAAAAAAAATAGTGTGGGGTCACTAATTAGAATAAGCATTTTCATTTTGTGTTCATGATGGTTTTATACGCCTGCCTTAGGAAGTGTGATAGGAAGAAAGTTTGCAACTTTTTTGTGTTTCTATTGTTAAATAATAACATAATAGAGGATTTACTGTAATTTGGCAAGTGATTCAAATACAAACCAATAGTCTACGGTGTGTATTGGTTTAAATTCAAATCCTTCAAAATCCATAAAAGTCACTCGAACCAAATGTCAAGTTTGTCATGCTCACGTAGAGGCCACCAATGATTTGTCATACTGGTTCAGATTTTTGGCATTTTGCCACACTTGTCATGCTAATTTTTTTTAACTAATTAATATAAAAAATAAACATTTCAAACATAATATTTTTTTAAAAACTAAAATTTCATTTAACTATAAAAGAAAATTACAACACACAAAAAAAACATAGAATTTCAAATTACGAACCTAGAAATTTAAATAACGAAACCACAACTTAAATACGAAACCTAAATGTTATATGTTTTGCAATCTCCTCTTTCGCTTTTATCGCCTTATTTTTTCGCATCCGGTGAGATTGCTAGTGTTTTTCGTTAAGATTGTCATGACACGGTTTTTTTCTTTCTCTTGTGAAACCACCAAATATTGTTCCAATGACAACTTCTAAGTTGTCCATTTTGGTTGTTAGTTGTTCGATGCCACCCGAATCACTTGCCGTCGGTTTTCCCTTTCGTTTGACTCGGTCTCTTCCCATGGGACGAGTGGTTCTTGGAACCTCAAAAGGCTCATATTCGTTGAGATCAATCCCGACATGCACATCATACGATTGACTATGCGTCGTTTCGGATGTTTAGATTCTTTTAGAAGAACCACCCGTAAACGTTTCAAAAGGTTTGACGTTTTGCCATTTTTTATACAATTTCACAATATTCAAAACATGTAGAAATTTGAAATTCACCCCTTTCCGACTCCGATATAGTTCAAGAACTTTATGCAAAATAGTTTCGTCGATTGCACCACTTTGTCATTGTTGTTTGACACTCGAAAACACCGCATTAAACTCTGTCACATCTTTGTTGACATTTCTCCACTTCGAGTAAATTTAGTCCTTTTTCCGGTGGTCTCCAAGATTCATTTCCACGAGAAACATCCACCCACACACAAGCCAACGTCGTTTTTTTTTTGTTTTTTTGCCATAGTTCATTGCCTTGGACCCACCTTTCCACTTTTCTTGGGTTGTGGTTGAAGCTCTTCCGATTCTGAATCCGTTTCGGGGAGGACTTTGTGTTCTCCTTGAGTTTGAAATTGGGTTTGGATATTGATTGGGGAGTCGAGAAGATGGTCAAATTGGTTGAAGTCATTTTCCATTTGCAATTAAAGTTGGGATGAAAAGTTTATTTGCGGTTGGTTTTGAAGTTGAAGTTGGTTTTGAATTAAGGTTGGTTTTGAAATTGAGGTTGGTTTTGATATTGAGATTGGTTTTAGACTTGATATAGGTAGAAAACACCACCAAAGTATAAATTTGGATGTGCACAAATAAACCAATCACTTTGGTTTTGGACGAAATTTGGTGAAGAATGTAAGATTGAATTTGTGTTTTGGGTGTTTGTTTTGGTATTTTTGGGAGTTCGGGGTTGAAAGAAGAAGCCGTTTTTTCACAAAAATGAGGTTTGAGTAAAAAAATTGAAGACGGTGAAGTGGGATGAAATATAGTATATAATAGTATTAATATAGTGTAGAAAGAGGGTAAATTTTGAAAATTCTTTTGAAAAAAAGGGTCAATTTTGACAATGAAAAACGGACACAAATTCAAATCACCCAAACCCCCCACACTCTCTCATAGGTAATATTCCACCGAGTTGCCAAACCGAGCTCAGCACGCCGAGTGGTCGACCCGTGGTTCCCCAAGGTCGCCGAGGTACTCGTCGAGGCCACTCCATTTGGTCTAAGTGTCCTCACATATTATTTAAAATTGGATTTTTTTTTGTTAACTCATGCATAAAGGAGAAATCAATACTGAAAACGAACTTGACACAATCCTTGTGAAATTCATATTCTTGATTACCGAACCCTATTTTCTATTAGTTGTCAAAAAGACATGATCAAGATTAATAAGAGATTGTAACATATCTTTAAAAAAAACATCAAAGATAAATACGATATTTAAATATACAACTTTATCGGCTATGTAAACAACAGAAAAAAGGACTAGAAAACAGTGATTGATGATGATTAAATTATTGAACAAGTTTATTTTATAGCATTACTATGGAACATGAGTTGACAACATGTAAAAACAGGAAGAAAATTCAAGTCAAATGAAAAATATTTCTCTTAATAGATTTAATTAACAGTAAATATGCTTACCATATGAATATTTGTTTTCATCTGATCTACGACCAAGAATCTTCCTTGAATTGCCAGACTTTACAACATATTCCTGATTTGAACTTTTTGACAGCTTTCCACCATGAGAACCAAACCCAATCTCAGGAAACCTTCTTGCATGGTTTTCAATGGTGGTTTCAAACTCCTGCATTATCAATCCTTGCATGTTTTTAAAAAAAAAAAAAAGAAGAAGAAAGATTCAAGAATCTTGTTTGTGTTTTTACGTTAGATTTGGACTTGGAATAAGGTGTTAAACATGGGTTTAGATCATTTATGAACATATCATCTGGACTCCCAGAGCTGAATTCCTGTATTATTATTAGTACTATTATTATTATAATAATACAAGTATGAAATTTTTTTAACTTAATACAAGTATGAAAGAATTCAACTTGATTTAAATGGTAATTACCAAAGAATTGGTTGCTTCTTCTTGCTCATGTGTTGGTGTTCTTGGAGAGGATACAAGACTGTCATAGCAAGCTGCTGTGACTGAATATTTGTCGGCTTTCACCTGTCATCAACATATTTACAAATAGTTAGAGAATATAAATATGAAGATGATTAGGGTTTATACTTTAGAATAATAATATTCGGTTAGGTAGTAGACTGGTAGTATTACCTCTGCAAGATCTTCAGCAAGGCACTGAAGTTGACCAGTGAGAGAAGTGACTTGTCTTTGGAGAGTAGGGATGATTTGTTTTGCATGTTTTAGTTCAGAATCTTGTTGGTTTAAAAGTCCTTGGAGCTGAGTGTTCATAACATCTGGGAACATAATGGCACTCTTCAATGCTTTGATCTCCTCTCTTTGTTTCAAACATAAATCTTTCAGTTTGTCAACCTGCCAACAGGTACAGGTTAGATGAAAATGATCTCCAGATATTAATTTTTATAGATTTTGTGATCAAAAGAACAGTAAGTTGTGTATCACATAGTTGGCTTGTAGAAACAAGACTGGGTACATATATATAATGTATGGTAAAGATGGTTAAAAAGCAAAGACATTGTTGAGTTGTGGAGTCTGATTGCTCCTTGAGACTTAGCAATGAGTGAGAAGGGTATGAAGATGCTAGCTTCTAAAGGTAAAGTTCCATAATTAAAGACTGTGACTGTGGAATTCTATAAGTCAAGTGTTTTTGGCAAACTGTAGAAGCCAATTCTTAAGCCTCATTTTTATCTTCGCAAAGTCAAACACTATTTCCTAGATATAAGACTTTAGCTCAAAATCTTCTATATTACTATTCCTTAGATCTAAGCTTTGAAAACGCATATCATCAATCAGTGGTATGTTTTTCGAATAATAGGAATTAAACATATGCTAAGTTTAAAATTCTCGCAGAAAGATTATTAATGATTCAGGTAGCGAGTGTGTATAAGTACCTCTCTGTTTTTCTCCTCAAGCATCAACTTAAGCTCAATTATCTCCGTCTCCTGGTCCTTGTTCTGACTCAAAAGCACCCTCTCACTTCTCAACACCATGGCCAAAGTCCTAGCATTTGGCTTCACCTCCGTTAATGCCTTCTTCTTCCCCTCACTCTCATCGCCTTTCCCTTTGCTACCAAACAACTTCTTATGCAACCCTCCCAAACCCGTCGCCCCACCTCTTCTCACACTCATCGTCGTCTTCTTCTTGAAATCCTCGGCAATGAAAGTAGTAACATCCGCAGCCACCACAAACTCCCTTCCTTTGACCTTTGTTGACGATGAAGACCTCTTCTCCATGAATTTCTTAACCATAGCAGTCAAATTTTGGTCGTTCTTGGTGGATTTGGATTTAGCAAGGGCGAAAGAGACATCAGGAGACTGGCGACGATTTTTGGTTTGGTTGAGGTTGAGTTTGTTGAGCTCGGTAGAGGAGGATGGATCGGATTGGGTGGAAGATCGATTGTTGAAAGAACTGTAACGAGAAGATGGCCTGAAAGAGGACATTTTGAGGGAAATCTGCGACTTAAATATTAACGTTCGAAATTTTGTTGGGAGATGATCAGAAGCATATTTCTAGGGTTTTTGAACTCCGACTGTAAGAGACATTGATTTAGGGGCGGGTTGTACGAATTCGAAATGATTTCACATGAGAGGCGCGGGATTAATTTATTCACGTGGATTTGAATTCATAATAAGTTCAAAATACCTAGCATAAAACAAAAGAAAATATATATATATATTCTTGACAAAATTGCAAGAATTGTCCTATGGTATGTCAAAACTCGTATGTTTGGGTCAAAAAAGTTTGGACTCGCACCAGTGGTCCAATATTTTGATTTTGTTGCGAGTTTTGTCTAATGGCTTAACAGTCGTTACCTTGGTCTCATTAATTGCCCCATGACCTCCTCACGTGAGGGTATTTTAGTTTATTCATGTATTCTCCTTTATTATTTTAATATTAATTACCTCCATAAAGAGACTATAACATCTCTATTTTCGTCTATGACCAGAAACCTACAACGAGCCTGTTAAAATGTGACTCGAGCATTTGGATCATGTTCATGGAGCATTTGGAGCACTTGGAACTTAATGGATCACTTGGGTTCATGGAGCATGTGATAAAGAAACGAATCATCTGAGAAAAGAAATGGATCATTTTGACAAAGGAACGAATCAAGTGCCAAAGGAACGGATCATATAGAAGGGGGGTTTGGAGCACTTGGAAGGGGTTTGGAGCACTTGGGAGTGATATGGAGCAACAAAGGAATTTGTTGCGCCACATGATGAAGTGTTGGGCCAAGAAGGATGATGTCACGCCAAGGGCATTCCTTCTTGCGCCAAGCGTATCCC